ACATGCTGCAAAGGGGGGGGGAGGGGAGGAGTGGAGGGGGAGGATGGGGGTTCGAGGCGTATCGCTCATGCTGAAGTAGTTGAGCACTTCGAATGAAGGAGGTAAGGCTGGGTGGTGTGTATGGCTCTGTGAAGTACTACTGGTAGTGGTAGAGAGCATGGATAACCTTGGCTGGTAGATATATATATATATATAAATACGTCTATATCTCTCTGTCTTGGATTCGATCTGGACACCATTCGATCTGGACACCGAAATGACGGGATGACTTGGTTAGGAAATCTTGAGAGAAAACAATAATTATATTCTCTTGCTCTCGCGCTCTCTCTCTGTCTGTGTGTGTGTGTTTGTGGGGGGGGGAGAAAAGGAGAGAGGGAGAGAGAGGACCAATATGCCCTTGCATAAATCCACTCACATATCCTCACACACAACAGAGTGAATTAAGTGTACGGAGTCGTGCACCAAAAGCAGTCAAAATACGCCAAGAGATGGCCTGTCAAGATAAAGAAATATTCTTGTAGGTTCATTCCAAGCATTCCAAGTGTTAGAGGATGTAGCAAATAGCGTACGGAGATACTGATTAGATAAGCAGTATCCAGACAGAGAGGATTCAAGCGATTGAGTTACACCTATCAAGAGGAGCATTTGCTCATACTAATAGCATAGAAGCGCATTACTGTAATGACTCAGAAACAGCAGCTGGCGTCCAATGCGTATAGCAATGCTCACTGCCATAGATATCAGGGCGTACCAGTTACAAGAGCGTTTCGTGCGTTTCGCATGCGGGGACCCTGTATCATCCTGCTGATACGTAACAGATACGTATCATATGCGCATGGATTCTGACACCAAGGGTTGCAGCCTACTACTTAGCAGGAGAAGGGGTAGCTAAAGATATGAGCTAAGTGCCGTTGGTGGAAATGACAGCTATTCTGTCAAATAACCATCATACTAATATGATAAGAGAAGCATATTTTTGACCATACTATAACTATATTTTCAGCTAAATATGTTGTAGATGGTAAGATTTTATTGCATCACACACGACTAAGCTACATATCCTTATACTCTCTAAGCAATCTTACAGTTAGGCTTAATCTAAGCGCACTTTTGATGGCTCCCCTAGCATGATTTTAAGAGGACTGAATCGGCCTCCCTCCTATGGGAAAGGATTGGCGTTCCCGGTGATTATTTAGTACTACTAAGTAGTAGCGCAAATAATCTTGCTGCAGCCTTGGCAAGAGGAACATAAACTTCAAGTTCTTCAGTTTGATGTGTAATGCTTTTTTGTCTGCATCACTCTGACTAGTATGCTTATGATTTTACCAATGATATCAATTCGATAGCCCTAATAGTTGTAGATCATTTTACGACTTTTGAAAAATTTTCAAAATATCCGTTTATTTAGTTGTAAAAAAAAACTAAACTAACCTTACTATATCGTTCCAAAAAAATTAACTGTTCCTCTTGCCAAGGCTGCAGCCAATATTACTGTGCTACTACTCGAGTAGTACCACGTAGTAGTACGTAGTAAGTATTGCCGGGAATGCTATTCCTTTCCATGGGAGGGAGGCCGATTCAGTGAACACAGGGGGATATAGCCAGCCCACCAAAAACGCTATAAGAAATGCCAACTTTATATCCTCTCACCAAACTACTATTCTAGGGGCAACATTGGCCCCCCCAAAATCAGACAGCCAGGGGGGGCTAAGAATCATACAAAGCCCCGATTGCTTAGGGGTCTAAGTAGGCGCCCAAAGCTTATAGAGGAGGAGTTCAAATGACGGACTTCAAAGTTGCTAAGAGTGTACGTCTTGGGCACATATATCCTGAGCGGATTTGAAACTACTAGTATTTTGGGGGGCATGACTTCTGTGTACATGTACATGTATATATGCGTATGTGTATGTATGTATGTATGTAGGGGGGGGATGTTCAGTTACTATAATAAAAACCCAGCCAGCCAGCCAGCTAGCAGGATCAAAGACCACCACCAGCAGCGAGCGCATCAAACCTGTTTCAAAGAATGACGAGGTAAAAAAATTTAATCCCCCCCCAAAAGATGTAAGTTAGCTAGAGACAGACAGACAGACAGACGGACGTAACTGGCCATAACCTCTTTTTTCTGTATGTCTTGCTGGGGCCTGTCTTCTTTTATGTCAATTCATCGACACATTTGGCCACATGCCCAGATATTTGGCTGGGGAGGATAGTAAAGGTCAACTTGGAAGGACTTCCCATTGGGATTGAGCACGCTGCTGCTGGAACGGGGTTTGCCTTTTTTCTTCGATATCGGGGTGTGTGAACATTTACCTGTTGTCACTCCCTGTCTCTCTTTTTCTTCCTCTCTCTCTCCGGCTATCTGTTCCAGCTTCACTCATGATGATCATCTCCCTCCCCACCACCTCGTCACCGGCTCCCCAACCAAAGCCCAGCCCAAATCGCTCAACACCCCAACCCACCCCCTCCTCCCGGCCACTAAATTCGTAACGGCCAACACCCTCCTCGAAAAGACATCGCTCTGCTCAAAATCATGCGCATATACCTCCCACACGCCGCTCTCGCCCTCCCCAGCCGAACCGCCCACTGATTCCGCGTCCCCCGCTCCCGCCCTCGCGCCCACAGCCAACCCCCTCCCCACGACCGTGCGATCGGCCACCAACCTTGTCGCCGCATCCACCACATCGCGCATCTCCGCCAGCGCCGCTCCGCTCAGCATCAGCTTGCCCGCCGTGCCCAAGATCGGCGTGGCGGTGAAATACGGACAGAGCATGTTGACGCGGATGCCGTGGCGCACGGGCGAGGTGACGCGCAGGTTGCGGAACAGACCCACGACGCCGTGTTTGCTGACCGAGTAGAGCGTCTGCGTCGGTAGGGGCCAGAGGCCCGCGATGGACGCGATGAGGAGGAGATGTCGGTCTCTGTTCACCTCCGGCTTGGCGGTGCTGGGGCCGCGGTTGGGGTCGGGCTTGGGGTTGCACGTCGTGCTGCCCGGGTTGAGGGGGGTGAGAGGTGTACAGGACGCCGGTGAGATTGACGTCTACGGTCTTGAACTGCGGGGGTGCAGGAGGTGCGAGCTTCTTGCCTTGAGCACCAGTGACGAGCTGGCTGTGGTAGTCCGGCGGCTTTTCGAACGTCAGGCTCTCCTCCGCCAGGTTGATGCCAGCGTTGGCGACGACGCAGTCGATTCCGCGCGTGGGGCTCAGCCGCACCGCGTCCTCGAAGAAGGAGAGCTGGCTGCTCCAGGAGGTGACGTCGAGCGGGATGAAGTGGTGGTTGGGGTTGGAGGTCTGGGTGCGGAGATCGGCGATCAGCCTCTC